CACCACCAACAGGCCAGAGTCCCTGGGCCATGGGGAAGCACAGGGCTTCCGCGAGACACGGGGGGGACCCGAAGGCTGTGACAGGCGTGAGGCTCCCGCCTCCGTGCTGGACTTGCTCATAAGTGATGCGCTGGGCAGAGTCTGCGCAGGCGGAGGCGGTGACAGTCCCGTGCTGCTGGGGGGGGGGGGTGTGGCACCACACTGCACACCCCCCCCACCAACCGCCGCGTCACCTGTCCCAGGGGGGGGGCCTGAGGAAGGGCTCCTCCGAAACACATGCCCGGGAGAGAGGATGGAGAAGGCGGGGGGGCGTGGGCACCCAGACCCACAGCCTTGTGAGGTGACCAGGCCTGGCTGGAAAGGCGGGGGGGGGGGAACAGCCCATCCCAGAGACCAAAGTCAAACCCAAGAGCACCACAGTCCGCGGGGGGGTAGGAGGTGAGGGGAGGCGGGGGCCCAGGGAAGCTCGTGGAGGCTGGGGTGGCTATGGAGGGGGGGGGGTGGCGGGCGCGCGGGGAGGAGTTTTGGGGGAGGCATATGGGAGGTTAGGGGCTCTGGCGCAGGGGGCACGTGAGCCGGGGAGTACCATGGAACACCCGGAGGGGCGGCCGCAGGGGCAGAGGCTCGGGGGGCGGCGCGTGGTGGGGGCCGCAGGGTAGGTTGGGTCTGGGGTGGGCATGGAGGGGCGGGGGGGGGGGCGCGGGAGGTTTGGGGATCCGCGGGGGGGTGCGGGGAAGCACGTGGAGCGGGGGATGGGGGCGGGTGGTGGAGGCTGCTAGGAGGTGAGGGGTGGGGAGGCGCGGGGTGGTGCGTTGGAGGGGGGCGATGTGGAGGCGCTAGTGGGGATGGCTAAAGGGGGTTGGTGGCGCCAGGGGGGAGCCGGTGCGAGGTCACGTGAGGTGGCGGCGGCTCGGTGGAGGGGGGAGAAGAGAGACGCCTGGAGGCACGGTGGGGGAGGCGCAGGGAGGTTGGGGGCCTGGGGGCGCGTGGGGAGGCGCGGGGAGGTGCAGGGAAGGCGGGGGGGGGGGGGCGCGGGGAGGCAGGAGGCTCCCCCTGCCCAGCCTCCCATACACAGGGCCACTGGCCCGGCCCCACCACACACAGCCACCCTGTGATTCCCACCCTGCCTGCAGGGTGGGAAGGAAGGAGAGAGGACAACACCCGGGAAGGGACAAGTCCCATCCGAAAAACAGGGCTACTGGAAGGAGCAGAGCCACGGCTCCCCAGCACAGGCACACACAGCCTCCCGCGGCGGCCCGCAGGGGAGGAACCCCGGCACCAGCCCGGCTGCGGCTCTCCTGCTACACCCACGGGCTCCCTGGTGGCGGCCCCGGGCCAGACGCTGGACTACTGGACTCTGGTCTCCACCTCTTCAGGGGCGCTCCTTCACCAGGTGAGAATGCAGCTGAGGCGGAGACCTCGCTCAGAGCAGCAAGACTGGCGCCCAAGGCAGGAGGCCACTCCCTCTGGCCTTTCCCTTCCACCAGCACTGCCCAGCTCCTGGCACACAAGCCTCCTCTGGGACCCACTTGTGCGAGGGAAAGGAGACACCAAGCCCACCTCCCTTAGCGCAGGCGTGGCCGAGGCAAGAGCCCCCACGGCTGCTGGGAGTCCTGACCACTCCAGAAAACACGCTTGCCCCTGGGGGAAGGAGAGTAAGGGGCAGAGAATGTGTGCAAGAAACACCCCTCAGGGTCACACCCAAGCACATTCCCAGGCAGCTTCTCCCCCAAGAGGACCAGTGTCGCTTCTCACAGCCCACACACACCCGTGTGAGGCTCATTGTGGCCGAAGCACCAGCAGCCCAGAGGGGACTGAGGCCAGCCCTTCCCTCCAGGCCCACCCTGTCCGCACCCTCTCTCTCCCACCACCAACAGGCCAGAGTCCCTGGGCCATGGGAGGGCCAGGGCTGCCACCAGGCGTGACTGAAGCAGGGGCAGATGCGGACTTCCCAGGGAAGCAGGCAAAGGGCCCAACACCTCCAGCGTGAACCTTCTACCTCCTGCTGCCCCTGGGCCTCTGGTCAGTGTCTCTGGGGTTGACAAGATGGAAAACAGAGGCCGGGCACTGAGAACTGCCTAAGGCTACCCCAGCTCTGGAAATCTCAGCACCGTGTTCCCGTCCTGGCCAGAGGTAGTCCAGAAATGGCTCAACCAATGCCGGACATTCTGTTCACAACGCCCGCCCGCTCTTCTCTCTGGGGGTCCCAGGCGTCCAGGCCTAGAGGGATAACCAGGATGCCTGGCTCCCACCCCCAACAGGAAGCCGAGGCTCCAGGGCCAGACCAGGCCAAGGACCCGCAACGGATTCCAACACCCGCTCTGTGTGCGGAACAGAAGTGCTGCCAGCCATCCCTTCCTCCAAATGAGCACCCAGGAAAGACCAGTCATCAACTGTGTCTCCAAATCTAGACAGAGCACGAAACACCGAGGTGTCTTCCCTCTGCCCACAGCCTAGTACCCTGAGGACTGAGCCTAGACTCAGAGCTGGGGCAGGGGCCTCCCCGACTCCACACCAGGAGACAAACGCTGGACACAGCAAGCGAAGTCACTGCGAAGAGAAGGCCAGGCTAGGAGGGAGGCCCGAACACAGACACCCACATGTGCAAAGCCAGGCCCAAAGACAGACAGAGCATCTGCCCGGAGACATGGAGACGGAGGCAGCCACACAAACATGGAGATATTCCGGGACTGAGAAAACAAGGGGCAGAGTCAAGCTCTGCCACCACTGACACCCAGGCCCGCTCCCAAGCCTCACCGGCTGCCGTGGCCTCCTGCCCCTCACCTCCCACCTCCTGAGCAGCTTCAGGCACGGAGGGCAGGTGCTGTGGTCCAAGCCAGGGCTGGTGGCCCTGGGGAAGGAGCCCCCAGCAGCAGCCACAGGGAACCAGCAGCTGGGGCTAACAGGAGCCTTCGACGGAAGGGCAGGGCAGGGCGCACCCACAATCGTCCCGGGAGCAGCCGCTCCCGGCCCCTCCCGCTGCCCGCCTTGCCCCGTCGGTGACCTAAAGCACCAGCTCCAGAGACACACGCCCCAAACACAGGCCACTCCGAGTCACCCCTGGGGACACTGGCAGGCACACAGGCTCCTGCTGAGAGCAAGGGAAGCGGGCGGTAAAGATCTGGGGCTCCGGCGGCAGCACAAGAGGGGCCAGGCCAATGGTTCTCCGGCTCGTCGGAGGCAGACATGGACGTGGGGCTGAACTTTGGGCTGGAGGCCCTGCCAGGTACCTCCAGGGGACCCCCACACTTAATCTTCCTATTTCCAGAATGCTCCCCGGAGCGCCACGCTTGCAATCCCATCCCTGACCCCTCCACTCCAAACCTGCAGACTGTGTGCCTCCTGTCGCCAAGCCTCTCTTTCTAGAACCTTCTGCTTTCTTCCCCAGAATAACACCCCCAACCACAGGCCCTGCAGTCTCAGTATGTCATTCCTGTTCCCGGACCCTGGGCCCAAAGGTGAGGGAGCCAGGCCTGGGAAGGCTCGGGGTGTCGGGGCCACAGTGGTGCAGGTCACACTCCACGCAGCCCCCCAGGTCTCCTCCCTATGCCCCCAAGAGGCACAGGATAGCACCGAAGGCTGCAGACCCCTAAAACCTGCAGTGTAGGTGGAAGAGGCTTCCTGGGAAGCAGTCCCACCCCCTCCTTGCCTGGCCTGAGTCACAGGAGCTGAGAGTACAGGGAATTTCCTCCACTTCACGCCTCTTCCTGGTCCTCAATACTCCCCGCTGCCTCAAAGGCACCTCACACCTGCCCTGCCCCCACCAGTTCCTCAGACGCCCTGGGGATCAGCTAGCAGAAGGCAGGGTCAGCGGTGGGTGGGGCCTCAGGGCAGGCGCTAGAACTGCGGGGCTCGGGTGGAAGACAGGGGCTCTGGAGAGGCTGTGGCAGGAGGGTTAGGTACAGAGAGGGTCTCCCCAAGGGGAGATGGGAAGAGAGGCCCAGAGGCTGGAGGCAGGCCTGGGAGCGCGTAGTGGGCTCAGCAGGAAGGATGGAAAGCTGGCAAGAGGGCAGGCTGGGCTGCTTCAGCTACTGAAAGGCACCCAGGTGGAAGGCTGAGGCCCTGTGCCAGGAAGCAGCAGGGAGAGAAGCAGGGAGGAGCAGAGGAGGAAACACAGGAGTCCAGAGCTCTGCTACGACCCAGGCCAGGCCAGGCCACTCCCTACCCCTCCATAAAGGCAGCCTGGCCCAACCACAGAGCCAGGCTGGAGCCCAGTGGGAAAGGGTGGTGGAGAGAAGCTGCGCAGGGAAAGGCACTAGGGAGACGGAGGCAGGCCTGTCCTCCCCTCACACTGCAGGGTTCAGGCCCAACCACCAGCCTGTGTGTGGCCAAGGGAATCTTGGAGGCCAAAGAGATCTGTCCACAGGCCCCTCTGACCTGTGCCCTTCAAGCGATCCCAGGGCGGGCCCAGCCCTGCACTCCCTACCTTCCCTCGATGACGGTGATGACGTCATTCATCTGGATGTGCAGTTTGTCTGGCTCCTCAAAGTCCTGAAGGGCCCGCATGTCCGTGGGCTGGGCCTGGGGGAAGAGAAAGGTCACTGCCAGCTCTGGGACTGACGCCTGGGTAGCCCCTCCGCTTGGACACCCCAGCTCTCCTGGGCTGACCTGTCCCTCACCTCCAGCAGGAAGTCCCGCAGGGCCACAAATGTAGGTCTGTCCTCCGGCTTGTGAGCCCAGCACTGGACCATGACGTTGTAGATGTCCTGGGGACAGTCCTCAGGCCGGGGCAGCCGCTCCCCCTCCTTGTCGATCTTATGCAGGATCTGAAGGTGAGGAGGTGCAGAGTGTGAAGACAAACAGAGCACCCAGCCCTTCACTTCCCGCCTTCCCTCCGGCCTATCCACAGCTGCAGCAGCTGCTGCCGTGCCTGGCCTCCACAGAAGGGATCTGCCTGCCCGGGAGGGGCCCTCTCCAGAGCCCTAGACCCTTCTTCCCAGGTCTGGGGCCTCGGAGCGAGTGGATGTGGCAAGGGCTAGAAGAGGAGGGCAGGCCCCAGCTTTTCCTCCCGTCTCTTTGCTGGCCTCTCCCTGAGGCCATACAGATACGGGGCGCGGAGGAGGGAGTCCGTGGGTGAGAGGCAGTTCCAGCAGGGCCAGGCTGCAAGCTGGGAATGGAACTCACCCCACCAGCCCTATGGGGGCCCATCTCCCAGCCCCCACCTGACTGCCATTGAGGCCGATCCAGGGCTCCTGGCCATAGGTGAACATTTCCCACAGCGTCACCCCGAACATCCAGGTGTCGCTGGCATGGGAGAAGGTGCGTGTCTTCAGGCTCTCCGGGGCACACCTGGCAGAGGCAGGGGTCAAAGAGAAGCCTCTCAAACACCCTACTTGCGTCCGCCCCGGGGACTTAAAACACTCATTCGGCGAACACTTGTTGTGACCCCGTGCCACGTTCAACAGTGGGTCTTGGGGGCGCTGTGTGAAGGGGCAGGACTCCTTGACTACACGGTGCACAGACTTGGGGAAAATCATCTAAGCCCAGGTCTCTTCCTCACTGCAGCCTGGCGTGGGAAGAGGAGGGGAAGTTTCCCAGCCAGAGAAGCAGGGAAATGAAGGAGGTCAGAGGCTCTAGGACGGGGCAGGCAGAGAAGATCACTGGCTGTTTTCGGACTGTGGTGGGAGGATGACAACTCCCAGCTCTGGGGCGGGATCCTGGGATTTGGGTCCTTCGGCAGGAAGGAGTGGGTGGGAAATTCAGATAGGGCCTGGGGAAGAACCAAAATGGGTAGAAACAGTCGTACTGGCTTCACCCAAATACATTTGTTCTGGGCACCCCCCGGGGGAGGGGGAAGCGCCACTGTGGTGAGGTTAGACACGGACATCCCGGCGTGGGCTGAGGTGCAGAGAGGAGGGTGGCACCTAGACAGGGAACCAGAGCGAGCCCTGCTCCTCAAAGGGGATGGGGCCAGGAAAGTCTCTCGAGATCTCTAAGGCTCATTATCCTCATCGGTGAAAAGAGAACAATAACCCGCCCCCTTCATCGTGTTGTTTAAAGGCAACTGCATTAATACATTACCACGCAAACCAGGATGCCTGAATACAAAAGAGGCTGCTATAAATTACTGCAGGACGACAGGCATAATCTAAGACCTATGCTCACCCTAGGGGTAAAGCCAGCTGCTCCTTAAGATGACCATGCGTTCTGCATCATAAGGGTTGCCCACAGTCGCCGCTCGGGCAAGCAGAACTGGAATAACCCTTCCCACCTCAAAGCAGGCAGATCACAGTCCTTTGGGTGCTTCTCGAACCAGAGGACCACAATGGTCTCAGCAGAGGATAAGCCCACAGAGGGGCCAGGGCAAGTACCACCCCCAGTGCACAGGTGAGCAGCCCTGGCCCATCTACAGGGCCTGTCTACCGCTAGCTCTACCTACAACATGCTTACCAACGAGTCTGTCCCTGGCAAACTTCCCCTGACATTTCAGGAAGCCTTTGAACACCCTACCGAGCAATGCCCCTTGGGTGAGGCCACGGCATTCATCCCTGTTAACACCCCACCCAGCAATGCCCCCTGGTGAGGACACAGCATCTATCCCTGTAACACCCCACCCAGCAATGCCCCTTGGTGAGGCCACGGCATCTATCCCTGTAACACCCCACCCAGCAATGCCCCTTGGTGAATTTATCCCTGTAACACCCCACCCAGCAATGCCCCTTGGAGAGCCCCACAGCATCTATCCCTGTAACACCCCACCCAGCAATGCCCCTTGGTGAGGCCACGGCATCTATCCCTGTAACACCCCACCCGGCAATGCCCCTTAGTGAGGCCTCGGCATCTATCCCTGTAACACCCCACCCAGCAATGCCCCTTGGTGAGGCCACGGCATCTATCCCTGTAACACCCCACCCGGCAATGCCCCTTGGAGAGCCCCACAGCATCTATCCCTGTGCTTTCCAGCACTCACATCCTGGCATGCGGGCCCTCAAGAATTCCTAGATGGATGGTGAGTGAATGGGTGCAAAGGAGGGCACCCCAGGCTTAGAACAGACAAGGACAGGCCCAAGCAAAACCAGGGGCTGTGGTGGGTCAAGAAAGCCCCAGAACTTTGAGGCCGGGGTCTGCAGGGACTCTGTGAGCTGGCAGCACCTGCCCCTCACCAGGCGAAGGGCACCTTGCGATGTTCCTGCATGACGTAATGGTCGTCATTCTGAGGTAGTGCTCGCATCAGCCCAAAGTCCCCGATCTTGACCAGGTCGCGAGTAGCCAACAGTAGATTGCGGGCAGCCAGGTCACGGTGAATAAAGCGCTTGGACTCCAGGTAGCCCATGCCCTCAGCCACCTGCACAGCGTAGCGACTCAGAGTCCCCAGGAGGAAGTGGCCCTGGTGCTTACGTAGCCGGTCCAACAGCGATCCCAGAGGTGCCAGCTCTGTCACCTGAGGCCACGGAGGAGGCAGGAGGAATGAGCTGGAGGACCCTGCCCCTTCTCAGCAGCCCACACTGGGCCCCCGGCCCCCTTCCTGAAGGCTTTCCCGAACCAGGCTGCACACTCCTTCCTGGCCTGCTGTCTGGGGACCTCTAGGAGTCCTGCAGTTTCTCAGGCCTCTCCCTCGAGACAATGTAGGAAACTGATACCCAGAGAGAAGGAGCTCAAAGAGGCAATGGCTAGAAATTCCAAAACTTGGCCAGGCCTGGTGGCTCACGCCTGTAATCCCAGCACTTTGGGAGGCTGAGGCGGGTGGATCATTTGAGGTCAGGAGTTTGAGACCAGCCTGGCCAACATGGTGAAACACCCTTCTCTACTAAAAATACAAAAATTAGCCAGGCGTAGTAGCGCACAGCTGTACTCCCAGCTACTCAGGAGGCTGAGGCAGGAAAATCGCTTGAACCCAGGAGGCGGAGGTTGCAGTGAGCTGAGATCGTGCCAGTGCACTCCAGCCTGGGCGACAAAGCGAGACTCTGTCTCAAAATAAATAAATAAATAAAACATAAATTCCCCAAATTAAACTCAATAGCCAGCCCCTCCCATAGGAGTAACTCTCTGACACTGAGCACCAGCAAATCCAGAGGCAGACCCGGACCCGACTGCAGCAGACACAGCCCGGACCAGGCTGGGCCCTTGTGAACCCCTTTACTCCATCAGGTGGGGGGACCAAAGTAGGACCTAGGGCGCCTCTGACCTCAGGACGGAGAGAGTAACTGCACCACACGTCTGGGACCACAGCCCTCTCCCTGGCCACCCGCTCCTGCCCACAGCACTCACCATCTTCATGGGCGGCGTGAGCACCACCCCGTACAGGCGGATGAGGTTTCGGTGGTCGAGCGAGTGCATGGCGTTGACCTCCCGGATGAAGTCATCCATGGCTTCTGGCTGGCTCAGGACGTCGGGCTTCAGGCACTTCACAGCCACACTCACCTGTCCACAGCGGGATGTGCAAGGACTCAGGACCTGCCAGGTCCCGGACACACGGAGCCAACCTGCTCTACCCTCCAACTCGGCTCAACGATCCCCGCCTCCGAGCTGCTCATCTGGGTGGGTAAGCACGCCACCAGTGCCTGGGCTTACATGCTCTACAGGAGGCCTGGCTGCAGAAGGGCAGAGCGCTGGCCCTCAGGAGCCATCGTCGGCCATGCCTCCCCTTCCTGGGGGAATGCTGGGCTTAAATACCAACCAAAAAGTAAGAGATAACCAGTATGATGAGAGAATATTCAAATGTTATAAAATGGATTTTTTTTTGAGATGCAGGCTGGAGTGCAGTGACACGATCTCAGCTCACTGCAACCTCCACCTCCCGAGTTCAAGTGATTCTCCTGCCTCAGCCTCCTGAGTAGCTGGGATTACAGGCAGGCACCACCATGCCTGGCCAATTTTGTATTTTTAGTAGAGACAGGGTTTCTCTATGTTGCTCAGGCTGGTCATAAAATGGAATATTAAAAGTTCTTTTGCTGTAGAAGGAAAATGCTTTAAATGTAATGCCAAAAACAAATATGTGGAGCTAGAAGTCGGCACAGCGGCTTCCCCGGGAGAAGGGCTGAGTGACAGCGGCTTCCCCGGGAGAAGGGTGCACTGAGTGGACGGCAGCTTCCCCGGGAGAAGGGCGCAGGCGCACTGAGTGGACAGGGCATGAGGAGCCCTCTGAGGTGCCGGGAATGCACCGGACGTGACCTGGGCAGTAAGAACATGGCTTCTGCACAGGAAACAGTCACACCAGAACTGTATTGCTGTGGTGCACACATGTTATCCCTGAGGGGAAAATGTTAAATGCAATGCCAGGAAGAACAAGATTTTAAAAGCTGTATCCAGAATTTGTATCTTAACTAAATTCGACAAAATACCTAAAGTAGGAGGAAGAGGCAGAAATGCCAACTCTGCTTCCTCTTAGTGGTGGCATTATAGGCGATTTTTTTTTCTTGTTTTTCAAGTAGTTTCCAAACTTTTATAATAAGTAAATTATTTTTATAGTTGAAATAATAAATGTGCTTAGCTAAACCTGAGCATGGGCTGGGCGTGGTGGCTCACACCTGTAATCCTAGCACTTCAAGAGCCTAAGGTGGGCAGATCACCTGAGGTCAGAAGTTCAAGACCATCCTGGCCAACATGGTGAAACCCTATCTCTACTAAAAAGACAAAAACTAGCTGGGGGGTGGTGGCGCACACCTGTAGTCCCAGCTACTCAGGAGGCTGAGGCAAGAGGATCGCTTGAACCCAAAAGGCAGAGGTTGCAGGGAGCCGAGATCGTGCCCATTATACTCCAGCCTGGGCAACAGAAAGAGACTCCGTCTCAAAAAAATAAATAAAAGCCCAAAAATCCTGTTGTGACGCGTCCCCAGTCCCATTCACATCCCAGTTGGGGGCAGAAGAGCCACTCCCAGCCTTGGGTCCCACGCCTCTGCTGGCCAGCAGGACACAGAACTCACCGTCTTCCCTGAGGGCGCGTCCCACTCGCCCCTGCGCACCACGCCAAAGGAGCCATCGCCTAGCTTCTCCAGGAGGCGCAGGTCCTTCTCCCCAATGAGGCAGGTGAGGCTCTGCAGGGGCCCCTCCCCTGCTGGGCCCCCAGGGGCAGGCGAGGTCTTCCGGAAGGTGCTCTGAGAGTGATGAGGGGGGAACTCAGCCTCCAGTCGCTTTCCACTGAACACCTGTTTGAGGGCAGCCGGGGGCCAGATGGAATCCAACACCCAGGGTCAGTCACTCAGTCCCACCCTGCTGGGTCCACCTGGTGATCCCCTGGCTCGGCTTCCAGATAAGTCCTGGCTTTGCCAAACTGCCAGTGGGGCAGCCTGGCTGGAGGGCTGCACTCCGTCCAGGCACACCCCAAATACAGAACTCAAAGCCTGACGCTGGCCTCAAGGTGGGTGCCAGAAAAAGACCAACAGGCATCAGCCTGTGGCTGCAGTGGCCCCACACCCAGCTGTGCGGACAGGGAGAGTCCAAAGCCCTCCCAGCACTGCCCACCCAAGGTCTGAGTCTCCTCCTAGTCCTGCCCCACCCTCCCTTCCTGCACCCGCCGCCCAGCAGACTCCAGCCCTAACTCATGTAGATGGTGCAGGAGCCACAGGGGCCTCCACAAACACCTCCTTGTCCATTTTTAGCCCTGGCCCCTTCTCTGGCCTGACCATTTGGTGCTGTCTGTCTCCACCCTCACTAGGGAGTCGGCTGCCCTTCATCCTGCCCAGGGGAGAGGATAATTTTAGTCTGAGGTTGAACCGTGAGTGTGTGTGTGGTTCAGATGAAGCCAGTCCTTACTGGGAGGGGCCTGGGAAGACAGCGGGGTTTCTGGAAGGGCGACTAGAGCTGAGGGCTGAGACAGAAGGAAGAGTGGAGGAGACTCTGAGGCCAGACTGGACAGGGAGGGGGCCAAAGGTCAAGGGACAGAAGAAAGGAGGCCACGAGGGTCAAAGCTGGCCACATCGGTCTGAATGGCAGCCTCCACCGAGGCACCCACAGCCTAGGCTCCAGGCTGCAGATTCTTGCCAGTTTGGGTCTCACATCCCCAAAGCTGGTAGAGTCTTATCCATTCAGGCTAGGGTGCCTCAAATCTGAGGGCCTCTTCTGGCCTCTGTTGCTTCCTCACAGTAACTAGAATTCCTTATGTTTGCAAGCAATGTTCAGGTTACAAGACCCTTCATAGTCATTATCTCTGGTGCCTCCCACAGCCCTGGGATATGAGCTGGGCAGTGGGCCCGGCATCATTTCACTGAAGACACGACGAAAGACGACAATCGGGAGGCCACTGACTGCCCAGGGACCTATCAAGAGCCAGTGGCAGATCCAAGACCCCTAAATCTCAGCACCCCTAAATCTCGGCAAACCACGCTGCTCTCTTCTCCGGCCTCCACCAGCCCGACACTACTCATCCTTCCCTAAAACCTGGGCAAAGGACCAGGACAGTGTTCCCAGAAAAAGCCACAGGGTCCCAAGAGACAGCCCCTTTGCCGGATTGCAGTCAGGAAAATCTCTGCTGCCCAATCCCACTCCAGCTGTTGGGCCCTGCCCACCCCCCACCCCAGCCCTGAGGCCAGAAGTGGGGAGGAAAGGCCACGGCTGGCTCACTTCCTCTCTCATTGTCTTCCAGACAATGGGCAGAGTTCCACTGAGTCAGACCAGGGACTCACTACACCACAGACCCAAATTAGGACAAGGTGTGGGGAGAGGTGGGGACAGGCTGTGGGGAAGGAAGCTGTCAGCAGGGACAGATGACCAGAGAAACACAGAGATTACAGAGGGTCGGGGAGGAGGGAAGCCAAGTGAAGATGTTCTGGGTCCAGACAGGTCCACCGCCCCACGCTGGACACTGGCCCCAACGCTCAGACACAGCAGGGCTAAGTTAAGGCACACACTTGTCAGTGAGCTCCTGTTCCAGGCGCTGAGAGGGGCTGTGAAGGCCTCACCACACACAGGCTGCCTGCGTGTCCATATCTGGCGGAGACAGACACTTAGCCCGGCAGCTCTACAAGTGCCCTGCCCGATAAGACCCTGGATGCAGGGGTTCTGTACAAAGTGCCGGCGGAATGGCGAGATTCGACCTGCTGGGGAGTTGGGGAAGGTTCCCAGCACTGGAAGCGGTAGGGGCATTCGAGGCTGCCACCCTCCCACCTCCTCACCCACCTTACTCATCCACGACTTGCGTTTGCACAAGGCCTTCCTCCTCTTCACAGCCTCCCACAGCCGCCGCTGGCCTGCAGGGAGGGTGGGGAACCCAGCGCTGTGAAGGCAGCTCAAACCCCAGAGAGGCTGCTGCCTATGGTCCCCTCGCGGGTGAGTCTGCCACTGGACACCACTCAGCACAACGATACCAATGAAATCAACCCCAACTAACCGGGAGCTTCAGCTGACCAGACGGTCTCTGCACTCCACTTCCCGGCACTGGCTCTCAAACTGGGTGAAGGTGTTTAACCAAAAACCTGAAGTGGTGGGCTTCTCCCAGTTCTCAGGAAAAAATCAAGGTAATGAACAGAATTTTCTCAGTGTTGAGGTTTTTTTCCCTCCATAAAATTTTGTTATGCTACTGGCATCAGACACCAACTATCCAGGCCAAAAGTAGCATAAGTCAATGTCCAACTCAGCACATGACTACCTATTAAGCTATTTTAACTGGAATGCCCTAATACGTTTCTAACATTCTATGAAGAACATCACGACTTTTAGATGCCACAAGCCCCACTTTTAGGAAAAATACGAAGATACGGGTTGAGCTCAAATCAGAGCAAACCTGTCTGTGGGCATGTGTGCGTCTGTGCATGTGCGTGTGTGTGCGTGCATGTGTACATGCGTGTGTGCATCCTTGTGCATGTGCATGTGTGCGAGTGTGCATGCATATATGTGCATGTGCACGCATGTGCGTGCATGCATCTACGTGTCCGTGTGCGCGAGTGTGCATGTGTGCATGTGTGTGCGTGCATCTGCGTGTGTGCGTCTGCGCGTGTGTGCATGCTTGTGTGTGTGTGCATGTGTGCATGTGCGTGCGTGTGCATGTGCACACGTGTGCATGTGTGCGTGCACATGCGTGCATGTAAGTGCGTGCGCATGTGTGTGCGCGTGTATGTGCACGTGCGTGTATGCATGTGTGTGTGAGACAGTGAGAAAGAGCACGCTAGTGGGAATCAGCAAACCATCTGAGAGTTAGCGTTCTCCCTACAGATCTCTGGACGTGGACCCCCCCCCGCACCCCGTATTCAGAATGATGGGAACAGACTCAATTTGATGCTTATGAAGGAGAGGTGATCAAGGACATACTCTCTATGTAAGAACAAACAGAACGGGGCATGGAGTGACTCCTGTGTAGCTGGCTTTCGGGAAGGCCTCACTCTCCTCAAACTCCAATTCACCTTTACAACTGCCAACTGTTCTCATCACATATCAGCACCTACTGATGTCCCTCCTGCGCCGCCTCAGGGCCCTGGGACAGACACAGTCCTCAGCCTGCTTCACCTCAGGGCCCTGGGACAGACACAGTCCTCAGCCTGCGCCACCTCAGGGCCCTGGGACAGACAGAGTTCTCAGCCTGCGCCACCTCAGGCTCTGGGACAGAGTTCTCAGCCTGCGCTGCCTCAGGCTCTGGGACAGAGTTCTCAGCTGCCACCCATGCACTCAGTGGTCCTGAGGACAGAGGACGTAAACAGTCAGGGGTAAGACAAGTCAAGTCAACATCCCACCTACCAGGCCGGCCCATGCCAATCTTCTCCAGGTCCTCATTCTTGACGTACTCAAAGTGGGACAGGCGGGTGACATTGAGGTCATCTCGGAGCCGCAGGAAGTACTGTTGCAGCTGCACCTCGGACAGCAGCTCCAGCAGCCAGCCTGTGCCCTCCTCCGGCTGCATGCTGCCGCCTCCCAGCCTCTGTGGGGACGGAAGAGTGGCTCAGGGACAAGGGTTGTGGCGGGGGACAACAGGGGGCCTGCCCGAGTGACCTGGGCTCACCTTCATCCCACTACACTGCCGCCTGGAAGGGCTCACACCACCTTCTAACTCCCAACAGGAGCTACTGAGAACCGCCTGGACCCACGTGCCCCATTCCTGTCAGCCACAGGGCACAGTGAGGGCGGCAGAGATACAGCCCCGGCCTTGCAGTCAGGAGTCAGGGTCTTGCTCCCGAAATCTGTGATCCGTGGCTGATCCGTCTGTGCTCACGTTCCTCACCCGCTCTAAGTCTCCAGGGGTCAAAAGCCCTTGAAAACCTTGTAAAAACGAACAATGGTCTCTCTGGGAAGATCGAGGTATTCTTACTCCTAACGTGTGATAAAAGTATCTGCAGGGTGCAGTGTGCCCTGAGACCCACCTATGGGCTCCTCAGATGTGACGGAGAAAACTCTCAGGGCCAGACGAGCTCTGAGCTAAGCTCCTCCCAATGCCTGACCACCCAGCCTCTCCTAACAATCCAAAGACCACTCCATGGACCACCACCCAAGTGCCCACAGGGCCACGGCAAGCAGAAGACAAGAGGGAGGGGTGGGGCCTGGGGTGGGCTTGCGGACACCCCTGTCAACAGGGAGCTCAGATCCCACCAATGGTTGTCACAAGAGACTGTGACCCAGTGTTGTCAAAGCTTTCCATTTTTTCAAGAAATAAAAGAAATCTGAAGTTACATGTGAAATCTCGCCATTAAAGTTTGTTTGGAAAAGGTAATATCTGCACATGGTAAAATATTCAGAAGGCGCACAGAGCCACGAATCTCATTCCCCCCACAACTGCACAGCCACCAGCTCCCCAGGAGCTGCCAGTGACGTCTTCTGCGGACCCTTCAGACTCTGTCATCCCTACACAGATATCCACGCATTAACCATACCATTCTGTTCCCTGATTCCACTTAATATTCGTCTTTCTCCTGACGTTTTAACAATGCTGAACAGTTCAAATCTGAAATGCACGCACACGCACACACAGCGTGCTGGCCAAAGCACACTGCAGGCCACAATCAGCCGATGGGCAGGTGAGTGACCTCTGACCTACACTCTCCTGGGCCCAGATAAAGAAGCTGGTGGAAACTTCAAAGCTAAGCAAGCGATCCACCGCACAGCAAACCCACCCCTGTCTGAGGAAGGTCTGTCACCGCACAGCAAACCCACCCCTGTCTGAGGAAGGTCTGTCACCGCACAGCAAAC